GTTCAAAACGTCCAAAGTGTATCATGGAAATTATTCCACCATGAGAACTACAGAGACCTTCCCTACCCTCATAGATGCAGCTTGCGAAGTAGAACATATATGAGGTTTGGTTCAGAAACACAAAGACACTCTCCTTTCAGCAAATAAGTAGCCAAAAGGGCAGGGAAAGGGGGTGAAATACGTCATAGCCAGCCCAGCAGAATCCCCTGGTCTTACCATTACATGTGATGCTTTCAAATGGGTTCTTAGTACCTTAATTTTGAGGGAAAGAGTGGAAGGAACCAGCCATTGCTTTTGCATGTTTAGTTTCTGCCTACGACACTGAACTCAAGAGAACTGAGACCTTTGGAGAAACCAAAGATGGTTCAAATGACTCGTGAGAATAAATTAACTCAGTGCTCCTTGCTGACAAGTTGACGTTTCCTAACTGTAAAGCAGAACCAGCAGCCACTGACACAGAAGGCCTGCCCCACAGATAGAGAAGAGATGAAGCACTGAAACTGAGCCTGAATGACCTCCCCTGTCCCAGGGCACAGGGCCACTGGGACTCCTTCAGAATCAGAAAACCAAATTCTCATCACCAAACCGGCTTCAGAGCAGCTGACTTATTAACATCAGGAAATCCAAGCACTCTCTTCCAGGCCTGGAGACCAGAGGAAAGGGGACGTGAGGAGGGGGGGCGGTCCCCAAGGCAAGGGGAGTCTACACTGTGGCCCCAAGAGAGGCCACTTCCCTCCTAAAATGCCTGGGATTTTCCACTTCAGTAGGGGAAGGTATCAAGGCAAAACACTGATAGCAAAACAATGAGGGCCTCCTCATTGACCTCCACGTACAGTGTGGGATCAGGCACCCAGCAGGCCGATATGTCCCTTTCCTGGGTTAGGGAGAGCGAGGCACAACCCCAGCACACCTTTGCCCTCAGAAAAGCTGAAGCCAAATCAAAAAGTTACCAGGAGTGACAACTGGGCATCAGAGTTCAAACTGTGCTGGCCAGGGCTGGGATTGGGCCAGGCTGGGAACTGTCCAGAGCTCTGGTCTCTAAGTAGGGCTGTCCTCCAAGATCAGCCAGCACTTTCCAAGTAGACATACCAAATATCCTTCATATTCTCTCTCTGAGTAAATACCACCGCTTTTCCCAAAGCAGACATTTTCTAGAGCCTTACTGGCCTGGTGTCCGCTTAGCGGGAGCCAACCCCAGAAGGAACTGTTAAATAACCCACTGTTTCAGTCTGTAAACTTTTTATGACTTAGTGACAAGTGAAACCACATTCTGACAGCAACTACAAGTTCCCTAGTACCCAATGACTTCTCTTTTGTTCTTGGAATACTCCCTCTCACTAGATCACAGACCCACCCATCCCCAGTCCCTGGAATAAAGACAGAGACACTCTCTATCTTTATTGGATGAATGGATGGGTTCCATTCCAGGGGCACCCCAGGTGGCTCAGTCAGTTAAGTATCTGCCTTTCGCTCTGGTCATGATCACAGGGTCCTGGGATCTAGCCCCATGTCAGGCTTCCTGCTCAGTGGAAAGCTTGCCTGCCACTCCCCCTGCTTATGTTCTCTCTGTCAAGTAAATTTAAAAATCTTAAAAAATAATAATAATAAAGACAGAGAGCACAACACCACATTTTAACCTGAGATGTGGAGAACACCTCTTCTCCTGAGAGCCTAAGTCCAAATGGAAGTTACTTTTTCTCCTTCACCTTGAATGCAGTGATGAACTCTCTGAAGTGGACCCCACAAACATGTAAGAAAGCAGTCATGGGCAGTATTCTGAGGGGCATAGACAGAACCAGCCAGCCTAGATAAGGTGGTAAAGGATGCAAAGCTACTTGGGTTTCATCTTCCTGCCCACAGGTTCCCATCTGTCCTGCCTTTCTTAGTTTCAGCTACCCGTCACTTCAAATCAGCTATGGTGCAATCCAAAAACTGAGGTTATTAATAAATAAATTACTGACAGCATGGCCTTTCCTGGTCATTTTTTACGTATTAAAATATGATGCATGAGTTCTCCATGTAGAAGATCCGCTGAGATCCAAAGAAAGGAAGCTACTGTGGTGGAGTTACAGATGTTATGTTAGTGCTTTGGAGCAAAAAAGAGCCCATTTCTCCCACAAGCAAATGCCAGCCCAAAGCACTGATACTAATAGAGATCCTAGAGGCTTGCGGTGTGCAAGGTGGCAGACAGTATCCTCCAACCTCCCCATACACGTGCATTCCCATCTCCATACCACTTGCTCTGATGCACAGAAGCATAAGGTCGCCAGAAGTATAAGGTCTGATGAAGTCATACCCCTCACCCTAAAGGGCCACTTTCAAGACTATGAACAATGATGATGACCATGGACAGGGAAGGCTGGGGGTTTCTGTCATAAAAACACTTGGCAGAAAGCCTTGGAAATGGTGTAGGAGAAAAACACAAGTAAGCTCAATATCCAAATTGAGAGACCAGCCTTGGGGATCTTAATGTTCTCAAAAAGGGGAGAAACTACTTTTTTCCTTCATTCTCCACTTTTGCCAAAAGGCATTTTCAACAAAACATAGAATCTCATTTCTTCAGAGGAAGAATAACTGGGAGACCCCAGCTGATCCCTGGCACTGAGGCCTGGCTCATTCACAGCAGGCAGGACCACCCGGAGGACGACGGAGCTGAGCTGAAGGACCTCTCCAAGGCAGGGACCCTGTGCACAGAATGTTACGGAGATCAAATGTTTCCTCCGGCATTGCTGATGAAGGATAGTTAGAAAACAGGCAAGCAGGGACAAGGGGCCCCGCCCTAAGAGGAAACCACCCTTAAAAGGATCGTACACCACCCTGGAAGGAGCCCTCCACCCTCTCCCATGTGATAGGTAGATGAAAACCTGATTGGATGATGGGCACAGGGAGGGTTAATCAGATTAAAATAGCCCACTAACAAGTCCATAAAAACCCCTAGACTTGGGATGCCTGGGTGGCTCAGTGGGTTAAGCCGCTGCCTTCGGCTCAGGTCATGATCCCAGCGTCCTGGGATCGAGTCCTGGGATCGAGTCCCACATCGGGCTCCTTGCTCAGCAGGGAGCCTGCTTCTCCCTCTGCCTCTGCCTGCCACTCTATCTGCTTGTGCTCACTCTTGCGCGCTCTCTCTCTCTCTCTCTCTCTCTGACAAATAAATAAATAAAATCTTTAAAAAAAAAAAAAAACAACCCTAGACTTAAAAACTTCCAGGACAACCCTCTCGGGTCCCCTCCCTCTTTGGGACTTTGTACTATCACTCAATAAACCTTGTTTTGCTGCCCATCATGCTGCCTGGTCTACCTCTTCGTTCTTTAAGCAGCATGACCAAGAAACAGCGGGCACTGAAGGAGAAAATCCTGTAACATTACTACATACCAGGGATTTTTCACACTTCATCTTTCAGTCTTCACAACAGCGATATGGAAAGCACTGCTATTATCTCAATTTTATTAGATGAGCAAACAAGAGCACAGATCCTTGGGGGAACTTAGTCAAGGTCATACAGTAAGTGTCATAGAGCTGGGCTTTAAACCCATGCTGTACAACTCAAAACCCTGTGCTCCACTCAGTAGAGAACTGCCTAGGTGGCCATCCACACAACAGGAAATCGTAGTGTGTGTATATTTACGTACAAATGTGTATGCATGTGTGTACAATATATAACAATCATGTAAATCCAGAGTGTTCCAGAGGTTTTCCAGAAGTATGTACCTAGGTTGCTGAGAAAACCTCACCCAGATTAGGGTAACAGAGGATTTAGTTGAAAATGCTGTGGGTCATGGATGCTTGGGTGGCACAGTTGGTTAGTTGGTTGTGTCTGACTCTTGATTTCAGCTTAGGTCATGATCTCAGGGTTCTGAGATGAAGCTCTACGTGGGGCTTCCCACTCAGTGGGGAGTCTGCTTAAGATTCTCTCTCTCCCTCTGCCCCTCCCCTTGCTCTCTCTCACTCACATGAGCGTGCACACATGCTCTTGCTCTCTTAAAAATCTAAAAAAAAAAAAAAAAAAAGAAAAGCAAACATTGTGGGTCAGGGGCTACTCTGAGGAGAGGAGCTGGAAAGGAAGATTTACTTTTCCCTGTATGTCTTGATGTCATGTTTGAACATTTTATCATGATACATGTACTTCCTACTTTAAAACCTTGTATTTTTTTAAGATTGTATTTATATATTTATTTGACAGAGAGAGAACACAAACAGGGAGGGCTAGAGATGGAGAAGCAGCTCCCCACTGAGCAGGGAGCCCAGCATGGGACTCAATCCCAGGACCCTAGATCATGACCTGAGCAGAAGGCAGATGCTTAACCAACTGAGCCACCCACATGCCCCTTTAAGAACATTTAACTGAAAAGAAAAATCTGTATGTGGTTGAGTCACTAAGTATTTGAAATTTACCGAGTCATACTTTCTAAAACATAGATATCTGAGAAAAAGCAATCCCACGTTACAGAGGCCTACTGCATGCATCACAGCGGGGGCCAGGAGAGATGGCTTCATTCAGTGCAGGAGAGAGGACTCGGCTGGGGGTGTCTGAGTTGCTCAAGACCCAAGAACAGTAAAAGCGAAAACATTCAACCATCCTCTCCCATTTTCATTTTCAAACAAAAACCCCACTACCGCCACAGGACCTGTCTCTGTTTAGAAAGTCAGTGAAAGAATGGATGACCTCACTTTCCCCAACAGGAGAGTCCTAAAGTGTTGTTCACAAAACAAAACTTGAGTAAATCGGTTCATATTTTAAATACCCTAGCAGAGTCCTTGTTTTCGCAATCCTGATGAGATCTTTGCAAAGCAAAGAAGCTGATCGTGATAATACAGTGTTTTGTAAATCTTTCTTTTTTTTTTTTTTTTTTTTTTTTTGATGCTGTACAAGGGTCCTAGTTTCAGCTTGGAACCAATCTTGTAAGCTGCCTGGGTGTCTGGGAGACTGGTAGGGCAGCTTGGTCTAGAGCCCATTTGCATGAGACCAAGGACCCTCCTGCAAGAGACGTCATTATAAGGGCAGAGGGAACCTGTACAAGCTGTACAGGTTCAACCCAATAAGAAAACCTAGGGCAGGCGTGATTCAGAACCTTAGATCCTTGTCTGCATTAGGAAATTTCTGCCCAGCTGCCTCTGAACTCAAGACAAGACATACAGCAGAAGAAAGTTACGAACACAAGCTCTAGAAAATGTCACAAGGTCCTTCTTTGACATCCCATCAAAGAGGTAAGTGGTATTCTCTCTACTTCTGCCCTGAACCAAGTGGGTGTCGCTAACTTGAGGGCCCCAGCAGAGACGAGAACCACCTGGGCTCCTCAGACCTCCGTCTCAGGAGTAGGGCCACCCTGTTGCCAGCAGTGAGGACAGCACCAGCAGCCCAAGGCAAACCCCTTGGCACAGAGATCCAAGTCTTCACCAGGGACCCCAGGGAGAGAGGGCTGAGGCTGACCCAGCTCAAGTGGTCTGGAAGAGGTGAGAAGGAAACTGGTAGATGCTACATGGTGGCACAAAGGAGTCAGGTACACGAGCACGGCACACTGTGCCTGGAGGCTCCTGTAGAGCGTGAGATCTGGGGGCAGGCAGGCAGTCTGCAAGAGCTGGTCACAGAGACAGCCAGGAAAGGGAAGTCCTGCAGATGGCTCCTGGTGGCACCTTACTTGAAACCCCAGGCTAGTGGGCTGTGTCGTGGTCTGAGGAAGCTCAGGTCAAAACATCTTAGGTTTTTACAAATATGAGTTAACTGGAATACAAAATCCTAGCCTGTTAATCTGGTAATTGAAGTATTTTTTTAATCATAGCCAGGCTTAGCTTCTTGCCCTGCCCGCACCCCCCTACCCCGCCCCAAACTTCATGCAAGACTTCAGCTTTACTTTCCCTCTTAAGACATGCCAAAATGCTGAGTCACTAAAAATAAATTAATAAATTAAAAAATTTAAAAAGCAGAAAAGAAAGTAAAGGAAGTGTGATCCTGCTTCTTAGTTCTAGCCTTCCTAATGACCTAAGCAGCACTTTTTCCCCGAGTTGTGATTCCTGTGATGCTAAAGGACGTCACATTGCACAATCTTAATAAGGTTTCCAATCAGCCCCACCCGCTCTGGCCCCACCCCCACCTCCAACAAAGATTTATCAAATGTGGGATTTTCCCATGAGTCTCAATATTAGAGTCTCAAGCCCCAATAAATATGAGACTGGGGATGTCTGAGGTTCATTCTGCCCTGGAGCCCACCAGGAACGAAAGAGAGAGATCCATCTGCCCTCCAGGACCTCAGCTATGAACTCCCTCTCCACAAGTAAGTGAAGGCAATCCCTAGCCCTGGAACCGCCCGGCTGCCTGGCCAGGCGGAGGGAGGGGTGTGTGTCCGCTGGGAGGGCTGGCAGGGCGCCAGCAGCCAGAAGCACAGCTCCCCCAGCGGTGCACTCTGCTCACTCGCTGCTCTCCCTTGCCTCCGGCACAGGCGCCTTCAGTCCAGTGGCCTTCTCTCTGGGACTGCTCCTGGTGATGGCTACTGCTTTCCCTACCCCGGGACCCCTGGGAGGAGATTCCAAAGATGATGCCACCTCAAACAGACCACCACTCACCTCTGCAGACAAAATGGAAGACTTCATTAAGTTCATCCTTGGCAAAATCTCTGCACTGAGAAATGAGGTGGGTAGGCTCAACTGAGGGTGATAAAGGGCCTGTGTGGGCATTCGTCTCCTGGCCCCTGGATGTGGACAAGGGCTTCTGCACTGGGAGGTCTGAGCTGGGTTCTGGGGCAGTATAGATTTCAGGCCAGAGGGGCAGACTGTCTGCTGTACTTCTCTGCTGCTGGTCTGAGGGAGCTCCTTTCCCTCCTGGAAAACATACAATGGGGCTGAAATCCATGCCCTCTGGCCCCATTCCCAGCCCCATACTTGGCATGAGCTGGGCATCACTGTCTCCCAGGACTTCCTTATCCCTAACCAAAAAAATAAGGTCTATCAATCTTCTTGTGTCTCTTGGACTTTGGAAGGATTAGCAAAGTGCCACCTGAAAGCAATGTTGAGCTTCTCAGGACAATCATAGGACTTTTAGGTTATGGGAGTTCAGTGGTTAGGGACTCCCTACAGTCATTCCAGCAAATAAGATGCAAGTGGCAAAATTGTAGGTAGGTTAAAGCATATAAGATCCAAGTGGCAAGATCATAGGTAGGTTAAAGCAGCTCCAAAACTTCAAAGGTAAGGGGTAATTTGGCTCTGTTTGGTGGAAAGGAAAGAACTCAGGAGAGTAATGGGAGCCCTGAACCAAATCTAGTTCTGGTTCTGCTGAACCAGCTTTGTGATCTTTGGCGAATTCCCTACCACCTCTGGGCCCCCTCTGTAAAATTATGGAATTGGACTAGATGATCTCATAGGTTCTTCTAGCTGGAACGTGATACAGCTCAAATCATATTCACCCAATTATCATCAAAATTGCTGTCACTTATCAAGTTCCTACTATGTGCCACACACTTTTCATAAATATGGCTCATCATCACACACACACACACACACACACAACTTACAGGGGAGGAGTTTCATTATCCCCAGTTTGAAGAGATAGGGATGCGGAGACTTGGGATAGGTAACAGGTGTGAAGTCATAGGTGAGCCCAGCATTGAACCCAAGCATGCCCATCTTCACTAGACCTCGCGTGCCTGGAGGCTCATGCCCTGTGATTTCATTTTCTTAGAGAACTTCCTGCCTGGTAAAACATGAATCGGCCCTCTAGTGGTATTTGTTTTAGAGGCACTTAAATGATAACAGTTCTGGTATTCCTTCCCAGATGTGTGACAAGTATAACAAGTGTGAAGACAGCAAGGAGGTGCTGGCAGAGAACAACCTAAATCTTCCAAAACTGGCCGAAAAGGACAGATGCTTCCAGTCTCGATTCAATCAGGTATGAACACATCACGTTCACTTTTAGCTACTCCTTAGTCAAAAGTTCTCCCTCTTACATGCAGCGTCTGTATACATATAGACCAGGCAGAAAACAAAGAAGGGGATCAATGTAAAGAATGTCATGTAAATTTTAGGAGGAGGCCAACTTAATCTTCCTAAAGGCAAGTTATTTTTGAATGGCGTGGTTAGAGACAGCCCTTCTGTGCTGGGATTTTCACAGCTGTCAAATGTTAGAAACCCCAGCAGGTTTAGCTAATACATCCTGGGTAAGGTGGTCCATCTCCTCCTCGGCTGCCTTTAGCAGGACCCAGGTCTGCACTTCCTGTAGAGGTCATTCTCTCCCCGCTTCTCCTTCCAGTGGGATCCGCTAAACTGACTTCCGAACAGTCCATAAAAAGAGGCTTAAGCCCATATTGACAAGAGCAGAAGTAAAGCCACAAGGGAGGATATTAAGGGGAGAATCAGAGAAGGACCCACTTGCACCTATCAGGCATTGGGTAAAACTGATTAAGTGATATCTCTGTCCAGATATTTAAAAAGGGGCCATCTGAGGCTAATGTCTCAAAATACAATGCTCAGAAGTATTTGAAGTCCCCCGGAAGGGCAGAGGGAGAAGTTGTTGACTTGTAGCAATTTAACTTTTAAAATTGATTATATCTTTCTAGTAATAACTAATTTTCCCATCTTTCCTCTTAGGAGACCTGTCTGACAAGAATCACTACCGGTCTTCAGGAGTTTCAGTTACACCTGAAATACCTAGAGTCCAACTATGAGGGTAATAAGGACAATGCCCACTCTGTGTACATCAGCACCAAACACCTGCTCCAGACGCTGAGGCCCATGGTGAGCATTCTGTCATCCCCTTCCTTGGTGTGAGGAAGACAGGCTCAAAGAAAGGGACCTAGACAACTTGGGAGTGCAAAGCCAATTCAAAAGAGATAGCTACATGTAAAGGAAAGGATCTAAGAAATATTTCCTGATAGTTGAAACCTTTTTTTTTTCTTTTGGCTCTCTTCTGCAAAAGACATCACTAACTATATTTAAAACTATATTAAATTAGGTGGATTTTAATTCTACTAGGACAGCTTAAGAAATATGAAAAAAAAAATCTGTAGAGGCAGAAGGAAGCACACATCCAATCCTGCTCAGTGATCCATGATAAAAAAGAACAGAGAGCACAAAAATTATTTTAATATGTTAATTATTGCCAAATGATATTCTTGTCATTGTGGTATTTTCAACTCTTTCCCCCTAATTTTTGCCAGAAGAGTTAATGTAGAGAAATGGCGAAAGGCTAGAAGAGCAGGTACCAAAGGCTTTGGTCATTACCAGCTAGCCGTTCAAATGTCACCGAATGGAGGCTTGAGGGCACAGTGTGGGGATGAGCTTCTGAACAAAGCACAGTGAGAAGGTCTCCAGAGAAGCAGGCACATTGGTGTTGATACTGCTACTACCTTTCCTGGCTGTTTGCCTCAAACCAGGGCTCTTCCCACTTTCAAATGCACACCAAACCTGTGGGGATCTTGTCACGGTGCAGAGTTGGATCCAGCAGGTCTGGGGTAAGACCTGAGACTCTCATCCCTAATAAGGCCCAGGTGATGCCAACACTGCAGTGCCCTAGAAGAGCAGTGAAGGGATGATTAGAATTCAGTTGCCGTGAAAGGCCTTCACGCTGGGTGGGCTCAGGTGGGCTTGGAGGAGGGACACCTCACCCTACCTGGGTGAGTCAGGGCAGGCAGCCCCAAGTAGTCTCCTTCACCCCGAATTTGAATGTCTTTTCACAGTCCAGAGCATCCCTCCACTCAAAAGGATTTGTTCAATATTTAAATAGTTCTTTTCACTTTCTTTTCCCCTCATGTGAAGAATCAGATTGAAGTGACCACCCCCGACCCTACCACAGATGCCAGCCTGCAGGCTCTCTTCAAGTCGCAGGACAAGTGGCTGAAACACACAACAATTCACCTCATCCTACGGAGACTTGAGGATTTCCTGCAGTTCAGCCTGAGGGCCATTCGGATCATGTAGCCTGGGCATCTAAGATTGCTGTAGTTCATGGGCATTCCTTTCTCTGGTTGGAAACCTGTCCATTGGGCACATAACTTATGTCGTTCTCTGTGAAGAACTAAAAGTATGAGCGTTAGGACACTATTTTAATTATTTTTAATTTATTGATATTTAAATATGTTGAGTTAATTTATATAAGTAATAGATATTTATATTTTTTATGAAGTGCCACTTGAAATATTTTATGTATGCATCTTGAAAAAGTTAACATAAAATGCTATGCAGCTTGAATATCCTCAATGTTTTGGAGCCAGGACATTTCTTGGAATGTGTAGGTTTACCTCAAATATACGGCTAACTTATGCATATTTTTAAAAGAGATATTTATATTGTATTTATATAATGTTTAAGTTGTTTTTATACCAATAAACATCTTTCTAAAAAAAAATCAGCCAACTAAGCCTCTGTGTGTACCGTGAAGATTTTAACATAAACAAGTTTCTGTCACCACTTAGCACCACTAAGAGCCAAAAAGAGCTCCAGTCACCTGGGGAAAGATAAAATGGACACCTACTCTACAGCAGGCACGTGTCATACGTGTTGTATCTATGATATTTAATCCCCGCCCTTGTATGATTTTTTATGGAGATGGGAGAGTAAAGGATTTCCCCAAGTCACCTAGCTGGAAGGTCAGGCACAGGCCCAGATTTTAAATCCAGGTCTAATTGCCTTCAGGCCCCCTACTCCTAACCTTTAGGTCCCGCTGCTTCCCAGGAAACCTTCTCAAAGATGTAGAAAAATCCCAACATGTTAATACAGGGAATACATTTAGATCTGATCAAAAGCCTTTGAAATGACATAACCACTTGTACAGACCTAGCAATGTGCGCTTCCAAACAATAAATAGAAGTTCTGCCTCCCCACTCTGGGTCCCTTCAACATTACACATACCTCTCTATCATAGCACCTACTACACTGCCCCACATGGCGTATCTTTCCAGCCAGCCTTCTTTCTTCAAGAAGGCAGACTCTATTGTATTCATCTTTGTATCCTGAGCCCATGGCCCAGAACTTGGACATAGGAGGCCCCAGTAAACATTTGTTAAATGAAGAAACCATATACACAGAAACAGAAGATACTTCAATATGGGGGGACATATACTGTTGATCAATGAGTGGAGAATTACAAATAATGTGTCCTTATGTATCTTCATCTTTAAGAAAAATAGCAAGAGTTAGGAAGAAACAGTCTAAGATGTAGAGGAGGCAATGAACAGTGTGTGTGTGTGTGTGTGTGTGTGTGTGTGTATACACATATACATGTATATATATACATGTATATGTATATATTTCTTTTCCCACCAACAATATTCTTCATGGTAAGAGAGGCAATCTGAGTAACCACACATAGCCCACTATTCCACCTCAACACTGTGCTGGGAATTTGGTAAAGATTTCCCCCTTTCAGCCCGATAAATATGAAAGTTCTATCTTCTATTAAAGCTTTCCTCACTTTGGTCATCACAGACTTCTTCCACCAGGGGAAGAATTCTACTGAGCAAAAGAAGGTCCACAATCTGAGGGTTTTGAAGGGGTGGGGGGGTGGGAGGTTGGGGGAACCAGGTGGTGGTTCACCTGGTTCAGGTGGTGCCCCTCACCAGAGAGGGCATGGATTGCATGGAGCACTGGGTGTGGTGCAAAAACAATGAATACTGTTATGCTGAAAATAAAAAAAATAAAATAAATTAAAAAAAAAAAAAAAGGTCCACAGAAGCAAAGTCTGAAAGGAGCCAAGCAAGAAAAAAGCCACATACTCTGATTTCTACGAACCAAGCATCACAAGTGAGTTTCCCAAATTGGGAGCCAAATCAAAGAACAAAGAGAAACAACAGTTGACCAATGCATCAATTCCTCAAACAAAAATGTGTTGAGCCCATATATAAGTCAGGCAATGCTGGGGATGCAGAGATGAACAATCTAGACACAGCCCCAGCCCTCACACGGCATGGAAGACAGACATGAGCAAAGAATGTAAAGTGTGAGGAGGTTTACAAAAGAGAAATGTGAGGTCTGCTGAGAACCTATTTGGGGGGCACCAATAGCAGGGAAACATAAGCCTGGGGAGGGCACTCATGGAGTCTTAACTGAAGGAGATATTTGGACTGAGATGTAAAAGATATGTAGGAGTTAGGCTAAGATGGGTGGGAAGAGCATTCCCGACAAAGGGAACAGCATGTGCAAAAGTCTGAATCAACAGAGAACTGGCTAAGACAATGAGAATTACGTTATGTCCAGTACATAAAGAACAAGGAGGGTGGCTGAGAGGTTGGGGAGGGAGGCTGGGAACAGATGGACAGCATCAGAAGCCATATGTGAGAAGAAGGTATTGACAGATTTTAAGTAGTAGAAGGACATATGAGATTTACATTTTAATATGATCCCTCAAGTTGCAATATGGAGAATGGATAGGAAAGGATCTGAAAGAGGATATTGGAGGAACATCATTAGCCCAGGGGAGAGAGATGACAATATCCTGAATTAGGCTGGTGGTAATTGCTAGAAAAGAGAAGGTGATAGCAGCCATCTGCAAAAGATAGGTAGCAGCTAGTTCAGTAGGATCTGGTGATTACTGACCAAGATTCAGGAATCACAGAGGCCACCAAGGCTTTGAGAGAGGTAAGAAGTTCGGATCAGATGGAGGAGTAAAACACAAATAATTTTATATTTCAGAGTTTTCATTTATTCATTTGTTCAAATGCTCTCTGAGCATCTGTGATGTGCCAGATTCTTTGCCGGGCCCTGGGGTTATATTGATGAGTAAAACAGACTAGGTCTCTGTTCTCAAGGAGCTTACAGTCTAGAGAAAACAATTCAAAGAAATAACTGCTGTATGCTAAGTGTGTATGCTACTGCTATGAGATGAATTATGTCCCCTAAAAGGATTTGTTGAAGTCTTAACCCCCAGTACATGCTAATGTGAGCTTACTTGGAAATAAGATCTCTGCAGATGTAATCAAGATACGATGAGGTCAGTAGGGTGGGCCTTATAAGAAGAGAAGAGACACACAGGGCACAAGTCCATGCAAAGGGAAGCAGATATTGGAGAGATGATCTGCAAACCAAGGACGGTCAAAATCAGCAGAAGGTGGGACAAGACAAGGATCTCTCCTAAAGCCTTTAGAAAGAGCATGGCCTGCTCAGACCTTGATTTTGGACACCTGGCCTCCGGACTGGTGAAAGAATAAATTCCTGTTGTTTTGACCCACCCAATCTATGATAATCTGTTACAAAAGCCATAGGAAACTAACACAGCTACCAAGAACAGCACACAGTCAATAGGAGAGCCAAAAGTAAAGGGTTCAGGAAAGGCTTCCCAGAAGAAAATGACATTTAAGCTTTATTCATGAACATAAAGCAAATACAGCAACCTTGGGCTAGCCCAGCGCTGAAGAATGCAGGGAGGTTCATGTTCACCACTGGGGGAAAATGGACAATGGGAGGTTGAAAATATAAGAAGATTCAGAGAAGTGATGAAGGAGAAACCCAAGGTAAGATTTCAAAGCAAGAAGGGATAGCAACTATCTGTAATAGAGAGCGCCAAAAGGAAGGCAGTGGTCCAGATTCCACTTCTAATAAAACTTCCAAGTTTCTGGTGGGTTAAGAACGGAAAGGAAGGGATGAACCAGCCCACATGCTCTAAGAATAGACTATTAATAATGATAATAGAAGTGGAAGTGTCACTGAGCACTTACTGTGTGCCGTATATGGTTCATTGTATGTATTACTTCAGAGACACATGTCTTAACCAAAGGGGCAGGGAGTCTAAGCAACTTGTGTTAAGTCACAAAGTGTGTAAACTCCATTAACCGTTATCCTTTCAAATCAATTCTCCACTTCTTCAGAGTAATAGTTTGAAATGGACCTGTGGCTCCCCATCAAGAGACTACATTTCCTATTCTCCTTTGCAGGTAGGTGTTACTATGCTGGGAAAGCACATGGCTCATTAGAAAAGACTGCTTGTAAGGCTGGTCCCTGGCTGGCATATGGAAACTTGACTGGTAAACACTTCCTTATATCAACCTAAAACTTTCCCTGATGATAAGAGTGCCAAAACTGTACAAACCGTATGGTTTATACTAATCACCTGCTTTCCTCCTGAGAATATAAGATTTTAATATGTGGAAAGCAGAGGATACCCCAATAAAAACTATGGGCACCACGTTGTTAATGAATTTCCCTGGCAGACACGTGTTGTCACAAGTCATTGCTAGAGGAATTAAGCACATCCTGTGTGGCTCCCCTGGGATAAGACTCTTGGAAGTTTGGGCCTGATTTCCTCCAAAATTCACCCTGTGTGTCTCTTCCCTTTGCTGAGTTTGCATTGCATGCTTTTGCTGTAATTAATCACAGCCAGGAGTATGAATCCTGTGACTCATTCACACTGAGTTCTGTGAGTCCTCCCTAGTAAATCACTGAACCCGAGGGTGGTGCTGGGAAACCCCGACAGAGTGGCTAAGTTTTCATCAAGGAAACGTGAGTAGAATTGATGTTGTAATTTTACTTTCACTTGCCAGAAAAGATATTACTTGCCCCCCATTTCTAGTGTTTCACCTTTCTGTGGATTAGAAACAAATGTTGGAGTGAATCAGCTTCAATCTTGCTGAACAGAGTAATATCCATAGCTGTAATGTCTAATGTGGTAGACAGTAACCACCAGTGTGCATTTAATTTTAATTTTAAATTCACTAAAATTATATAAAATTAAAAATTATGGCCTCTGACTTCAAACATGCTAATGGCTATGATATTGGACAGTAAAAATACATTTCCATCATTGCAGACCTTTCTACTGGACAGTGCTGCCAAAGAGATTAATGGAAACTTGATCACTAAATGAACTCATGGAGCTAAGCAGACTCACCTACTTGGACCAACAATTACTGAACTGTAAGATGATAAGGAAATATACATCTGTTTTAAGCAACTATATTTTAGGATATTCTGTTACAGCAGCTTACCCTGTATCTAACATAGTTCCTGATTTATTCTTAACCAAGGATGAAAAACATTCATGAGGCAAGGTAACTGTGTAGGACAAGAGCAGATTCAGAATATCTAAGTAGCACACCTTCCCTTGGTACCCAGGTCTTTAATCAGGGAACATGCCAGGTGGTAACATTGTCCATATAAGATAGAGTCATAATCCCAAAAGCTCAATTCTTGCTCTCTCATGGCCCTTTTGTATTGTCATTCAGGAAGAACTTAGACAAACAATCTATGAACTTCCTTCTAATTCAAGCATTTAGTGTTATAAATTTCCTTGTTAGTACTGCTTTAACTTGGTCCCACAAAGTTTCATATGCTGTATTTCCATTTTCATTCAGTTCAGTGTATTTTTTTTTAATTTCTCTTGAGACTTCTTTGACCCATGGATTAT